GGGCACTGGGGAGGGGTCACACTGGCCCTGAACCGCAATGGGCACTGGGGAGGGGTCACACTGGCCCTGAACCGCAGCACACAGCGGGCACTGGGGAGGGGTCATAGTGGCCCTGAACCACAGCACACAGCGGGCATCGGGGAGGGGTCACACTGGCCCTGAACTGCAGCACACACTGGGCACTGGGGAGTCACACTGGCCCTGACCCGCAGTGGGCATCGGGGAGGGGTCACACTGGCCCTGAACCGCAGCACACAGCGGGCATCGGGGAGGGGTCACACTGGCCCTGACCCACAGCACACAGCGGGCGCACAGCAGGAATCGGGAAGGGGTCAAGGGGGGGGTCACCATAGCATCCTGGCCCAGTCCTCACCGTGGTATAGTACAGGATGATGTCGTCACTGCCCATGTTCCCATGCAGGATATGCTCCTTCAAGTGCTGGATGAGGGTGCCCTGCGGGAGGGGACACAAAGGCAGAGAGAGCCCTGTCACCTGCTTGCCCACCCACATGCCCCTCTCTCCTTCCAGGAAGGAGCTGTCCAGTGAGCCTCCTGCTGCCAGTTACACCACCACCAGCTGAGAGCCACTGCTGCCTCCAGAGGGTGCTCTTCCCCGTGAGTCCCAGTGAGGGATGATGGGGGGGTTCTGGAGAGCTGCCCACCTCAGGCAGAGAGAGGAGAGGTCAATCCAGGGACGGGCAGTGTGGCCACCACAGCACCTTGACAAGGGGGCACTGCCTGCACCTGTCGGGCTCCGGGCACGGAGCGATCTAGTCACTGCGCATTGTGCTGAGTGCCACCACAGGGCAGAACCCCAGGCCTGGGCCCCGACTCTGAGGGGCCGTCACACGCCCTGACCACAACCAACACCAACGCCCGGCACATGGGGGCTGGTCGACCGCCTGCTGAGCCACCAGGCTGCCTGCCTGGCTCCAGCCGAGTGTCCTGACCGTGTGGACAGGGGCCGCCTCTCCCACAGTCACAAACTGCCAAAGTCCCGGAATGATTGCCCTCCCCGAATCCCAGTTCTCCCCCACAGTGCGGGTATAGTAACTGGAAACTTGTCAGCACCCCTTTCTGTGAATGCTCTCCCACACCAGGTCCCCTGCCATCGGGCCTCTGACTCTAAGTGACCCCTAAGGCAGGGCACAACTGCCCCACGGTGTTTCCAAGGCTGGAGTCTCTGCGGAACCCAACTGCTTCTTCTCGCCCCCACGAGTGGCTAGTGGGTTTGAACTGCTGACTTTGCCTTTAGCAGGGAGGCACCATAACCACTGTGCTCTCAGGGCTCCCTGGTCAGAGACTAAAAGCCACCTAGTCAAGCACAAGCAAAGCCGCTGCACCTTGAGGCCTGGCTGCACCCTGACGTCAAGGGCGCTCTCAGGACAACCCTCAGCCCTGGAGGCAGAATGCTGCAAAGACAGCAGCTGGAACACCCAACACCACTCGTCCTGCAGGGTCTCCTGAGCCGCTCCACAGCACCCAGATGACCAAAGCCAGTCTCAAGCTTCCTGAACCTTCCACAGCCTAAACACAGCAGCATGAAGCCTCTGTGAAGAGCCAGGCTGCAGCTAATACGCTTTCATGTTCCTCTTTAGAAAAGAAGTAACACTCGCTGTGCACAACCCTGTAAAGGAAAGCACGCACACATTCCCGCTTCCCGGTGCCGTCTCCCCACAACCTTCTGCGTCACCCCAGTTTCCGGAACCGCTCATCCCCGTGGCTGCTGGGCTGAGGGTTTACGGACGCCCCTCATCAGGGACAAGAGGCTGGGTACCCACATGACACACAACTGACACAATGAACACACCCCAAGCCGCATGTGTGTGTGTGTGTGTGTCTTCCAGAGACGATGGAATGCGAGTACAGAGTTATCACAGGTCCCATGCCCAGCCTCTCCTAACATTTAGAACAACCTGATACTAGGAAGGGGCTCTGGTGGTGCAGCGGTTCAATAATTCAGCTACTAAACAAAAGGTCAGCAGTTCAAATCCACCGAGGAGAGAGTTGAGGCAGTGGGCTTCCACGATGACTGACAGCGTTGGAAACTGGAAGAAGAATGTGACAGTCACCCCCAGGCCTGACCACTCCCTGAGAAACCCAATAGTAACGGCTCCTGATAAGGATCTGTCCTCACTAAAACCCCTAGTAAAAGAAGCCGCCCTTAACTGCCTCCCACTATTTTGACTCCACACATGGTCAGATCACTTGGTGTCCTTCTCAGACCATGCACTAAAAGCCTGTTTCTTGGGACCAGTTTCCTCCATGCCCTCTGGCCCTCAAATCTTTTCCTACCTAACAGAAATCCTATGTCCTGAGGGGTCTCCCACTACGGCAATGAGTGAGGCCAGGGGGCAATCTGAAGGAATTTCATTTTAGAGCTGAGTCTTAGGAGCCTCCTGCTGTGCCAGAAGTTAACCCTCTAACTGCAAAGTCAGAGGTTGTGGGGAGGGGCATCCCAGGGCAGCTGGAGCGCTTCTGAGTGAGCCTTCTATCTTAGTGTGGTGGTGTGGTTAAACACTTGGTTGGTAACCGAAAGGTCATCAGTTCAAATCTACTGGCCGCTGTGGCTCTGGGGTAGAAAAGATGGAACAACCCGCCCATTCTCCAGTCACACAGCAGAGCTGACTTGGTCTGATTCAGCTGTGGGTGGACAGCTATGGGAGGCGGGCCTGGTGTCTGACAGGCTTCTCATAATTAGGGTGGGGTTATGGTCTACTAGGAGAAGTCCAGAGATAAAAGGTCATCCTCACCACATCCTATCAAGGACACCACCATTCATGTGACCTTCAACACCAGGCCGGGGGTTTATCTGTCAGTGTCCTCCCTGTGGGCTTTTGCAGCATGAGGATCAGAGAGTCATGCCTTGGGGCAGAACATCTACATAAATGACCTGGTATTCTGCATGGATGTGCCTCTCCTATACCACACGGCTGTGTGTACGGAGTAGTCATATTAACATTTCACAGCCTGCATCAAGGCCTGAAACCAACTCACAGCTGATGCTCCACCGGGTCGGGTTTCTGCAACTGCAAATCACACAGGAGATGGTCCCTGTTCTTCCCTCACAGCCTCGTGGACTCAACCCACAAGAGAGGTGCGGCCATCCAGTCAAGAGCTCAGCTCCCTACATGCTCCACACCAAGCTCGCTAAGTGAACCCAAATGCAGTCAGAACGGGCCCATCTAAACACCAGCCCACACTCGGGGCAAAACCCCGTGAAACGCTGAGTCTCGGGCATGTTCCCTCCTTGCGGGGGATCCACACTGCTTCTAGGCAGGGAGAGCAGTCACAAAGAGCTGGGTCCTCAAAACCTGCCCTCCACTTCAGAGGGAAGGTGCTGGGGAACACGAGGCTTCCCCACCCCGACAATTCCCTTCTGCAGGAGGAGGGAAGAGACAGCAGGGACTGGAACAAGGCACTACGGCTCCTTCCCAGGGGAACTTCCTGTTTCCTGCTAAGCCAACCAAGAGGGAGACTGGGACTGGGGCCAGGACACGCGTGAGCCCGAGGTAACGTAAGACCAGAGCCACAGGTGTGCAGCCTGTGTCCCAGGAGAGGGCCAGCCCAGCTGGAGGGAGGACATCACCTGAGTCAGAGGCTTCTGGCCTTCATGTTCAGGGCAGAACACGAGGCAGGGGGGATGGGGACAGACACACAGGGGCAGCAAATCGGACTCTCCTCCAAAGTCCAGGCACGTGTGTGGCCTGCTGAAACCACAGTGATGAGATAAGCTGGCACGTGTGTCTCCTAGAAGGAGTTCTGGTGGTGCTGTGGTTAAGGCACTCAGCTGTGAACTGAGAGCTCGGCTGTGCAAACCCACCAGCTGCTCACGGGGAGAAGGCAGCCTGTTTCTACAAAGATCTGCAGCGCTGGGAACCCCACGGGGCGCTGCACTGTCCCACGGGGCGCTGTGAGGCCGAACCAGCCCAGCGGCAGCGGGCGTGGGTTTGGGTTGGTGCATCTCCTGACAGAATGTACCGAGGAGGACAGGAGGACGAGACTGAAGATCCAGATCTCATCACCGGCCACGCATGGCCCTGGGAGCCCATCTACAAGGCCATCAAAGCCACCGAAGACAGAGGAAGCTGGAGGAGCTCCCTGGGTCACAGGACACTGAAGGCCCACCAGAGCTGAGTGCGGACCTACCCCGGCCGAGTGCACCATGCACTTGGGGGAGCCCGTGGTGCCCGACGAGAACATGATGAACAGAGGGTGGCTGAAGGGCAGCTGCTCAAACTCCAGCTGTGGCGCCTGCTCCCTTTTCCTGCTGGCCAGAAAGTCATCAAGGAACACGCTGTGGACAGAAACACAGGCAGACATCACCCTTCTGTGCGGAGCTGACCCTAGGGCACATGGACACAAGCATTCACTCAGTACAGAGCTGACCCCAGGGCGTGTGGACACAGCATTCATCCCTCTGTGTGGCTCTGACCCCAGGGCACATGGACAAGAGCATTTACTAGGTACAGAGCTGACCCCTGGAGGTGTGGGCCGAGGGGCCCTGCCATCATGGACTCAATCGTGTCTTCCTAGAAGTTAGGTTCAAGCCCTCACCCCTGATCCTGTGACCCTGACTGATTTTTCCAACCCTTCCTGCCTTCTGAGCTTTCTTCCTGGACAAACGTGCCCTCTGACCTCACGTGGCTGACTGTCCCAGGAGTGAGCACCTCCCTGCAGTTACGGTCACCTTACAGGTCTGTCTGTGGCTTGGCTGGAATTAGAATCACAGAGTGAGCTCAATTCCAGGCTTGAAGGGGGACTAAGGACACCATCTCGGGGTGCCACCAGTCTCCCCCAGACCAGGAAGCTGAAGCTGTTCTTACTCAGGATTTTGAGTTTGGTCCACCTTCCTCTTCCGACCTACCAGGGGCCTTCTGCTGGGATTCCTCCCAGGGCGGTCAGCACTGGCAGACCCGGGGCAGCCCCGGCAGCCAGGCCGTGCGGTCTCAGAGCCGTGGAGACTCAAGTTCACACGATGCATTAGTGTGTGGCTAACAATCTTGGGTTTTCTTCTCTCTTTGCTCCAGATGGAGTGAGACCAAAAGTCTGGCTGGGCCTTAGATGGCTCCCCACAGGCTTTTAATATCCCCGTCTGCAGTCATCAAAGGAGAATGCAGAACACCGACTGTGTGCACTATGGTATAACAATGACCTTGACAGTCCCTGTGACTACGGTCATGAGTGGCCAGGCCTGCTGGGCTATGGCAATGTGACCTGATCTATGTGAGAGAGGTCATGCTGGAGGCCAGAGTAACAGAAACATATGGGGGGAGGCAGCCCCGAGGAGCCCCCGACCAGCAGCCACTGCTAAAAGCTCAGACAGACAAGGCACGATGTCCCCGAGGGTCATGCCTGGAAGCAGATTTCCCCCGACTGGAGGGGATAAAGGTGTGTCCCCTCCAGGCCCCGTGGTAGGTATTTCTGTCACAGCAGCACTAGGATGCCCAGACAAGCCCACCCTGCGCCCAGCCTGCTGGCCTCCCCGCTGCCCCACCAGAGCTGGCATTCCAGGGGCAGCCACTCTGCCTGTGAGGAAGCCTCGTGAAGGGGTGTGTCTCCTGCTAGGAAAGCACATGGACTGAACGGCCGGACATCTCGGGTCTCTCAAGCTGACAGAGCCACGGGCTATCTCCTCAAAGTCGTGGTCACGAATCACCGTGGCACCGGCTCCCTTAAAATCGCACACCCCCCGTTGGTGCACAAACACTGCAGGTGCGCTTCCCAAAAGGTGCCTGAGGCCCGGCGCCACCCACCCCTCCACTATTTGCTACTTTTTTTTTTAATTATTATTATTATTTTTGTGTGCGTGTACCGTCAAATCAGATCTGACTGGTACAGGAGGAGATTGCCCCTCCTTCCCCAGCAGAGCATCTGGTGGATTCGAACCATGCACCTCTGGGATTGTAGTTGCAGCTTCTTGCCACTATGCCACCAGAGCTCTCCTTAGGCCACCAGAGCTCTCCTTATTTGCTACTCTTAAAACAACAAGGAGCAAACCCGTGTTGCCCAAAGCGGGACGGATGAGTTCTTCCAGCATTCCTGAGCTCAGTTCAGAATGTGAGACTCCACACAGGAGACCCACAATCTCAGGACAGAAATACCGCTGGGCCAGTATTCTCTGTGCTGCTCGTTTACGAGCCCCAGGGGTTTCTAAGGAGCTCTGCATCCTCTGACAAGATCATAAACACAGATCATGAAACGGACATAACCTATTTCGAAAGACAATGAAGTGGGAGTCCTGGTGGTGTGGTCTAGGGGAGCTGCTCTAACTTAGAGGAGGCATCACCTCCCACCCCTCCACCGCGGCAGTGCTTTCCACCAGCGGTCTCCTCCAGTTCCAGCCGCTGATGACCTGCTGTGAGCCGGCCCGACTCCAGGACTCCAGCACAGAGTGACAGAGAATGAAGGCAGAGAGCACCGAGAACTCTGGGAAAATCTCTCGGGACCACTGTTTCCTGAATTCCCAGTCAACACGATGGCGCCACAGTGGGACTGTGTGCTGAAGACGGGCAACTGATTAGTGTCAGAAGTAGAAAGGAAGTGTCAGTGAAGGGGACAAAAAACAGGCTCGAAGACCGGCGGGGATCTGGCAAGGCCGGGTAATGGTGGGCAGAGTCCACTGGTGATTAACTTCATACAACATAACAGATGCGAATGACTGTGTGAAACACAGGTGAATGAAGGAGAGTGTGAAACACAATGGAAGCTAACTCTGTAAGTAAATCAATATATACAATACAAACTTTTAAAAAACTAGAGTCTAAGAAAGAAATGCATGCACAGGTCTATACGGTTTTACACATACACAGGGGAACAAATACCTGGGTGCGTGTAGCACACATACACTGTAACGTACATATGCGTTACGCATAATGTACATACCACACACGCGCACTTACACACACACGTACACGTACGCTCCCACGTAGGTCTGTAACCAGAGCTAAGGAAGGGTCTGCCCACACCATGGGCACCACACGAAAGGGTGGACTCCGGGGCCCTGCCGTGTGGAGGCATCAGGGTGCTGTGACCCTGCAAGAAGGACCTGGAGGCCCAGAACCCGTCTACGGAACGATCGTTCTGGTGAACCTCCCATGCTTTTCCACTCTGAGCTACAGACTCACGGAGTCAGTTCAAAGTGGGGCCGCGGGGACACTCTTGGGGATGGTCACGGGGATGGCCTTGGGGACAGCCGCGGGACCAGTCTACCTGTTTGGAATCTTGGAAATGTCGATCTTCTCTTTGGAGTGGACATAAGGTATCATCACGACTTTCTTCAAGTCTGGCAGTCCTGAACAGAGGAGAGGAAAAGGGTCTTAGACACCAAGGATACTTAGTTCCAGATTCTTTAGTAAAATTTAACAACCTAAAATCAAACAAGTTGACACTAAGACACCTCCTGACATTCATGACAGATCTATGCCCCATGGGGCTTCCCACGCTGGTTGTACAGAAGTAAATGTCCAGGCCTTTCTCCCAGGGTGCTGCAGAGGAGACACGAACTTCAACTTCTCGCCACCCAGGCCTCCAAAGGCAAGATCACTCAGGGTTTGGGTAATGCTTGTCAAGTGCTTTCATGCCCCTGGGAGGGGCCCTAATGTCTGCCATGCTAGTCCCAGGCTAGGGCTGGATGGGAGGCCCCCCTGGGAGGGGCCCTGATGTCCACCAAGGTAGTCCCTGGCTGGGGTTGAGTAGAGGGGGCCCTTGGGAGGGACTCTGATGTCCTCCAGTTTAGCTCAAGGCTAGGATGGGGTAGAAGCCCTCTTGGAGGAATCCTGATCTCCCTGCTGAGGTGGGGTGGGGAACTCTGGGAGGGGCTCTGATGTCCCCCCATGCTAGCCCAAGGCTGGAGTGGGGGACTCCCAAGAGGGGCTCTTGATGTCTCCTCATGCTGGTCCAAGGCCAGGGTGGGGTAGGGGACTCCCAGGAGGAGCCCTGATGTCCCCCATGCTAGCCCAAGGCTGGAGTGTGGTGGGGGCCCGCACCTTTAACGACCTGCTGCAGCTTGTCCATGTGGTTGTGCTCTTTGCCATTGTACACAACAGCCTCCACGGAGAAGATGAGCTTCGGCTGGACTTGAGAGAAGCGGTCCAGGACGCCCTGGAAGCAGAGGACAGGGATCAGGGATGGGCGAGGGCCTCGAGCTGCCAACAGACCACATCACAACACGGCAAAGAAAACCAGCCACAGTCCCGAGTCCCACCGCCAGGGGCAACAAAGGGGGCCACTGAAAGCCTAGGGAGCCCACTGGCAAAAGTGCTCAGCTGCTAACTGAAAGGTTGTCGGTTTGAATCCAGCAGCCGCTCTTCAAAGATGTGACAGTGTGTCCAGTAAAGATCCCAGACTTAGAAATCCAGTGGGACAGTTGTACCCTGTCCTCCAGGGTCACCAGGAGTCACCGACACGCAACAATGGGTGGGTGGGTTTCTGGGCTGCCGTTTATGTTTAAGGGTCTAGGGAGACAGTGACTGCATCAGGATGAGAAACCCCGACTGAATGAGACAGCGACAGTCCACCGGGTGTGGCAGGGCGACCCGGCCCGGGCCTGCTGAGTGCAGTGACAGAGCTGTAACCAGCCCTCCAGGCAACCCTGAACCGTACATGGGACATTCAAGTCAGGAAACTCTGGGCCCACAGCAGCCAAGCTTCTTAGAAAATGGTTGCCCGAACAGAGGGGCCAACAGGCGAGCATCTGTGTAACTCTCAACTGTGTGCCCAGCAGTCATCAGGGAACCAAGGACACAAGCTAACAACAGGAAGAAGAGGAAAATGCTACTGTTTTCATGTCCCCACACAGTAAGACGGCCGCAAAAAGGAGAGTGGAGGCAGGGCTTAAAGCTGTGAAATGGGGCAAAAGGGGGTGGGCTAACCAGCTTCCCACCCGACCTTGCCCAGGTGAGGGCCACTCACGGCCACCTCATTGCACAAACACAGCCCCCAGCGGCAGCTCTCCTGACCTGAATCCGGTACCTAGCAACCAGTGAGTGCTGAGGCCAACAGAGGGCGGGCAGCGGCTGCCCTGTGGGGGTGGACTGCTGTCTGTGTGTGCATGCTGTGCTATCTCTCTGTGCTGTCTCTGTGTATTTGTATATAAACTCACTCGTGAGTGTGCGCGTGCACACGCACACACAAACACACACTCTCTCTCAGCCACCTGGAAGCATTTCCTGTGCACTCCAGGTGGGATCCTCAGGTGTGTGGATCTCAGGTGTGTGGACCTCAGGCATGGTTTCCTGACATCTCTGAAGATGTCAGTGACCAAGTGAAACAGGAAGAAATTAAAGAGGCCCCGCCTTGTCCCCTCTTCCTGGGAAGTCCTCCAGGTCTGTTTTAGCCCCTGAAAAAGGACTGTCAACAAATGGGCAACTGGAATTCAATGGCCACCCTCTGGGTGCAGGGGTGATTTCTTTGTCCAGTCTGTCCACATGCAGGTAACGGGCACCAATGAGCACTGAGCCACGTCACTGCCACCACTACGCAGGACCTCCCTGACTGGGCCACCTCTCCCAGCCCACATGCCTGCCAGCCTGCTGCCACATTCAGGCCCCTCCGCTGTCCACACACGGACAGATCCACCGTCCACTGCCTCTGATGGCTTTGAACGTGACCACAGCTGTGTGACAATCTGTGTGACAGCCTGGCCCCTGACCCGTCTGCGCCCTTCTACTAAGGCACATCCTTTTTCAAGTTTGCCATGACTGGCAAGTGACAAGTTCCCGTGGACGTGGACCCAGCAGCCAGCACACAATCATCGCAGAGCCCCCAGCGCAGTGGTGAGGGGAGCCACACTGTCATCGGTGAGCATGCCAGCCACAGAGGCCACCAGCAGCTGCGACTCCAGAAAGGCCTGGGGCCCCGGGGCCAGCACCTGGAGGCTGCACGAAGGCTCCGGCTCCCACAGTCTATGTGGTCTCAAGGCTGCAGGAGTGTCTGCTGGGGTAGGGGCTGCATAGGACAATGACCCAGATGGAACAGCAGGGAGGAACAGGCCCGGGGCTCAGCAATGCACCTGCATCACCAGCACTGAGTGTGGGGGTGACAGGGACACCCACCACGGCCCTCGCACCCTCTCTGCCCAAGGGTATGGGTCCCGGGGCCCTGAGACCACGTCCAGGAACTCTATCATTGGTGACTCTTCAGTTAGAGGCTGAATCCCAGCCCTGGGGTCATGACTACACCCCTGAGCGTGCCCTGCAGAGAGTGCAGCACCCCAGAACCCCCAGAGTGGAGAGCGGCTTCACTCACGTTCACGCCGAAGTCTGGGGATGTGGAGCTCCAGATGGCCCCGATGCTCGCAGCCGCCAGCATGGCCTCCACGGCATGTGCACTGTTGGGTAAGTAACCTGTGGAGGGAAGGCAGGGGGTCAGGGCCCCAACTCCTGCAGGCACCGCCACGGCCCAGCTGGGCAGACAGCCACTTCCTCCTGTGTCCAGACTCCTGCAGGCACTGCCACGGCCCAGGTGGGCGGACTGCCACGGCCCAGGTGGGCGGACAGCCACCCCCTCTTCCTGTGTCCAGACTCACAAAGGCACTGCCACGGCCCAGGTGGGCGGACTGCCATGGCCCAGGTGGGCGGACAGCCACCCCCTCTTCCCGTGTCCAGACTCAGGAGGACACTGCCACAGCCCAGGTGCACCAAACTACACTGAAGTGCAGTAAGCTATAGCTAGTTCTTCACTAAGGAATCGTCTGTGAGCCAGTGCAGTGGTGGGAGACCGGTAGGCATGCTGCACTCAGGCAGCGACGGTCAGATGAGCTGATACTATTCTTCCCCATTTGAGTTTTGAACAAATTAGAAGAAGTGCAGTCAGCCTGGCCGACCACAGGGGCCTCCATGTCCCTCCTCCAGACTCCTGCGGGCACTGCCACCACCCAGGTGGGTACAGTCGCTCCACCTTCCACCTCCCGCCTCCCGGCAGCCAACTCCTCTTCCCTTGTCCAGACACAGTCAGTCCGACCCCCCTCAGCCACCTCCACGTCCCTCGCACCCCTGCAAACCATCCCCAGGCCCCATGCACGGCCACCTGCAGCGCCCTGCCTCCACTCCAAGCCCTCCTCGCTCCATGTCCCAATCCTGGGCTCCATTCATGACCACCTTCTCCCTCAAGCCGTCTGATTGCTCTGAGCACCTCCTGCCTCAGGGCCCTCGTAGAAGCTGTCTGCACCAAGCTTCCACGGTCAGCTCCGACAGGTCCACCCGCACTAACCTCAGGTGAGATGCTGGGAGAGGCCTTCCCCACGCCAGCCCGTCCTTCAGCTCTGCGTCCTCACAGCACCTGCATCCCTCCCTCACAGACCTCAGGAGATTGGCAAAGACGCTTGGCTGTGCAGTCACCTGCTGATCGCTAGGTCTCAGGTGAGGACGGGGACCTTGCTTGTCCTGTTCTCTGCTTTGCCCTGTGCACCTGAGCTCTCAGGCCCTGGCTGGCACGTGGACAGGTGGGTTGGCCGCTGTGTGGGTGGGTGAGTGAGCAGACAGCTGAGTGGGGGGATAGATAGGAAGCAAAGGGAATGAAGGATATAAAGGCATTCAAGAGACATATAAGGCGGTTCGAATCCACCAGATGCCCCGCTGGAGGAGAGGCAATCTCCTCCTGTGCCAGTCGGATCAGACTCGAAGGTACATAACAAGGAAAAAAAGGGAAAAATAAAAAGAGACATACAAGGGACACGTTCGCAAGACATAAGCAGATACAGGGCAGATACTGAGCTCAATGGCAGGCTGGAGGCAGAGAACCTCCGTTACCAGAGACTCCAATCAACTAAACAGACTTTCCTAAAGGATCAGATGCCAGAGTTTGGACAAGCAACATTATGGAGTAGAGGTCAAGGCCAATGCCTTTCTGGAGCAAAGGTGTGCCCCCCAGGTGACAGCAAAGTCTCCAGACAGCTCAGTCCCTTTGCCCCTCCTCAGTCTACCACAGAGACTGGCACTTTCTGTCTCTCGGCTCACACCCATCTCCTGCCAGGCAAGGTGCAGGTCAGGAGCTGTCTGCTCAGCCCCTGTGTTCTGCCCAGCTCGTGGCATATGGCAGGCGGCTGCCTTTGCTGAGTTGGCTGTTAGTGCAAACAAAAGATTCCTGATGGGCCATTACCTAAGGAAAGGGCAGGGCTCACTGCCCCAGGAGGCTGTAGGATGCAGCTGACTTCCTGGTGACTGAGAAATGGCCTGGAGCCAGCCCTTCTGCGGCAGAGCCAGCCATGACCTCAAGGACCACTTCACGGACTATAAGCCTGCCACGGACAGTGCTTGCAGCTTCTGAAGGCCTCACGGCACTCCCCTGTGTTCATCTGAGAGCACAAAGTCCTGATCCTAGTAACAATGGTTGGGTCAGGGTCAGACACAGGAAGACAGCAGGTCAGAAAGCACCAACGTAAGCCTGGAGCCCAGGGCAAAGAACACCTAGGAATGTACCTTTCCAAAGTTTCACAGGCATGTGAAAGTTGGACTACAAGTAAGGAAGACTGAAGAAGAACCGATGTGTTTGAGTATAGCGCTGGAACACGGGGCGCCCCGTGGACTCCCAGAGGAACAACAAATGCGACTTTTTTTTTTAACAAATGTGTCCTGAAGAAGGAAAGCCAGAATGTTCCTCAGAAGCGAGGATGGACAGACTTGGACTCACAGATTCTGGACACGTAATCAGGAAGGACAACATGGAGGACATCAGGCTTGATAAAGAGGAAGACCCTCGGAGAGATGGGCTCCGGCCCAGCAGTGGTGAGGAGCACGCAGGACGGGCAGGGCTCTCCTGGGCTCCACCGTGGGCTGGGACCAACCCACAGGACCTCATCCAGAGGGCATCGCAGCCAGGCGTGTCCCTGGAGCAGCCCCGACCATCACTGTCGGCCTCCCACACTCAGCCTGCGCTTTCTCCTTCACAGAGAAGCTGATTCCCTATGATGATTTTGTGGCACTTCTGCTGAAGGAAAGGGAAGAAGTGGAAGGATCATGAACACTTTGCATTATGTTTCCAGATCCGCAGAAGAGTCTAGATTAAGTGGGACCAAGATGGACCCAGGCAAGGGAGGTCTCAGCCACGGAGGTGCCCGCTCAGCCAGCAGGTCCAGCTCCATCGCCATGTTTACGTTATGTGACTTGGTGCCAGCTCACAGGCTGCGACGTGGCGCTGACCAGGTAGAGCCTGCCTCTAGCACTGGACACATACAAAGCATGTAAATTAATTTCAGGAGAGTGACAGGCACTGCAAGGAAAAATAAAGCCAGGTGGCGAGTAGTGATGGGCCCGGGAATGAGACTTCCCATAGGATAAGCGGAAAGGCCTCAGACCCCATGGACACACACAGAACATTCCAGAGAACTCAGGACAAGAGGGGACTTGGTGTGCCCTCTCCTACCCACCTGCCTTCTAGCCAGCACCTACAGGGAGTCCACAGTGGGTTCTCTCATCTGAGAGGCAGACAGGTCCTGCCCACCCAGAGCCTCACCTGAAGATTTACCGTTAAGGATGGTAAGACCTAGCAATCGATCGCCTCTTCAGACAGAACACCCCTTTGCAGAAAGATTCCTTAGGAGGGGCACACCCTGCCGAAGCCCAGCACTGCCCGGCCCTGGACCTGGCACTGTGCCGTGAACTCACTGCCATGGGGGTGGGGCAGGATGGAGGGCAGGAACTCAGCCACCAGGGCAAAAAGACAAATGGCCTTTATCTTCCTTAGTTCCCAGGTTCACACCTTCCCACTCCTGAACTAACTAAAGTTCCTGGTGGCAAAGAATAGACCCATTTATAAGGTTTTGAATTTTTTCCAGAAATTAAGGAGCCACAAGAAACCCCTCTCAGAGGAAATCATTACTCATCGTGCAGGGAAGTGGGGCAGGGCCAGGGCGGGGGCGGAGGGCGCCAGGCGTCTGGCTATGTCTGAAGACTCTGGACTACCCAGCCCACCGAGGTATCTGCACGAGTGCCCAGGGGTAGAAGTTACCAAGGCTGAGGGCACTGCAGCCAGAGGGATTATGTTCCTGAGGGGAGGAGCAAGGAAGGAAAGTGAGAGGAGAGGGGTGGAGAGGAAGGGCCCCTGCACTGCTACTGGGTCGATTCCAAGGGCAGAGACACCCCATCGAGGCAGACTGACGCCTCCTGCTCCTGGGGTTGATGGGTTAGAACCACCAACCTTCTGGCTAGCAGCCAAGCACTTAGCCCACTGCACACCAGGGCTCCTGAGGTCTGAGAGAGGAGGCAGCAGGAGTCAGGGCCGTGCTGAGCCAGACTGAGCCTCCACAGCAACAGCGAAGGGGACCAGTAAGGCTTCTTCAGAGCAAGGGATGGACGGAACCTCCCCCAGAGCTGCTGGTCCACGAGTGAAACAGCAGCCTCTGAAGACATGAGTAAGATCTGTTTTCCGGTTCTAGGGTAAATGGGCCAAACGCTGACCTCGGCCACACAGCAGAAAGCATTCATGCCGGACATCACGGGTTGGACGGGCAGCCAGCAGCTACACTGACCTCCCCTCATCAATCAGGCCATAGGAGCATGCCAGCACTAGGCTCTGGCCCGAGGCTGCCCTGTGCCACAAAGGCCTGGGCCCTGACCTTCACCTCCAGCTGCAGGTGCCTTGGGCACCCTGACCGTGACAGATATGTCAACTGACCAGAAGGTGAGCCCACAGGAATCAAGACAAGCACTTCTCTGTGGCTGTGTTTAAAGAGAAGATTCTCGCCGGCCAGGGGTCGGTAAGCAGGAGGAAACGGGCCTCTCCTGGGCCCAGGGCCCTGGAAAGTGCCATCAGGTCGGCACAAAAGGCAACAACCTGCAAGGAGTTCCCCCGAGGGTAACTGGAGAGCCAGCTTGCTCTAGAAACATTCACTAGTCATAATTTAAAAATTAAGTAAATAAAATAACTGAAGTAAGTGCCATGCTGGGAGTTGATGGCTCCTCAGAAGTATGCTGACCAAGCCTGCACCTCAAGCCCTCCCAGGCCCTCAAGGTGACCCCACGACTTCAATCAAGTGCTGGATCAACTGGCTGGCTGCGTGTGAGGCCCGTGTTTTGTGAAAAGTGTACAGGTGTGTGAGAAGAGCTGTGGTCACTAAGGAGGGAGGGCAGGTGTGGCAGGGTCACTTTTCAGGCCATGCACGACACTAAGACAGTGGTCAAATGGCACTGAGCACCTGTCAGAATCCACCGGGCCATGCAGCTCGAGGAGTGGGCCTGTGTGAGGCAGGGGCCTGTCAACAACGACACATCAGTGCCAGGTCGTCGCCCAGCCTGCAGTCACCAGCATGCCTCATGGTCCCCTCCCCTCTCCTCCCCAGCCTCCTTGCTGCTCCACATCCCCCTGTTCAGCTCCATGCTGTGTTTCTTCCTCACTGACCACACAGAAGTGCAGCCCCGTAGGGTTTATGTAATACAATATCCACTGAATCAGAAAAGCAGACGCAACCTTCCAGGCCCTTCTGTCCCCTCCACCAGAACCACCACGGCCAGCAGCACCACTTACCCACAACGCGGTCTCCCACGCAGATCCCCATTTCCCTCATGGCTGCTGCAAACAAGGCCACCTGCTGCCGCAGCTCTTCAAAAGTCACCTTCCCGATCTCCTCCTTGCCTTCTCCTGGGAAGAGAAAGCCGTGGGTCAGAGACGTGGCCGCCATGGACACTGACCACTTGAGAGAATCACACCCGTTTAAAGGCAGCTGCAAACCCAAGCCCAGGACAACATTACGGGAACACATGGGACATGTGGCAGCTTTATGACAGTGAGGGGCGGGGGAGAGTGACCCTCTGAACGAACTCCGGGAATTGGCCACTTAAAGACTTCTTGGGTTCTGGTTCTAGAACATGTGATTTTTAAATAATCCAACTCACAAGAAGTTGCAGAGATAGTGCAGAGGTCCTCCGCCCCCTTCACCAGTTCCTCCCGTGCTCATCTGGTACGCGGATGCCTGGGGCAGACACTGACTCAGAGTGACCCCAGGACAGAGCGCACCGCCCACAGCGTCTCCTTGTCTCTACTAATCTACAGGAGGTGCAGGTCTGGTGGGTTCAGTCAGCAGCTGAGCTCCCCACCATGAGGCCTCCTTGGAAGGCGCCATGCTCACACCTCACATGACCTACTGCAGTAGCCAAGCAAAGGGGCATTCGTGAAAAACGAAGGACATTCATATGGCAGGGGGGCACATTTCCTTGTCAATTTTATCACACGTACTTACTGGCACAGTCACCACGAAGAACAACATTCATGTCCAGTCATAACACAGAACACCATCACTACCACACAGACCACCGTCACCACACAGACCACCAACACCACACACACAGACCACCTTTTACCACACAGACCACATCACATCACCACACAGACCACCGTCACCACACAGACCACCGTCACCACACACACAGACCACCTTTTACCACACAGACCACATCACCACACACACAGACCACCTTTTACCACACAGACCACCGTCACCACACACACAGACCACCTTTTACCACACAGACCAC